CTACTCAAAAATCTTTGATATTCCACACTGCCTGCCCAGTAATATCAAGCTCCTGAATCTGGAATTTATAGCTCTTTTTAAAGAAGTCCCTACTTACCTTTTTAACCTTTTCCCCACTACTCCCTGGAAAGACTCCAAGAGATAGGGCCTTGACTTGACTCCTGCCAACTCACTGCATTCATTATCCTCTAACACTCCCTGCTCACTTTCACCAGGCCTTTATCTGGTTCTTTGCGTGTCTTATTTCCCAAGAGAACGCAAATTTCTAGAGAATAGGAACTTTTTACTCTATTCTCCAAAGAAATTTAGGCTCAATACCATACACAAAAAGATACTTCATAAATAGTGGTTAGATTAAATCATGAAGCATTCTTAAATATTTAAATTCAGCCTGACAGAATTTAATGATATTAACAAATGAATTCAATTTAGGTTCAGCATAGTTACAGCATTAGGAAAACTCTAACAAGTAAATAGTCTTACCGATGCAAACATCAATCTTTCCTTTAATTGCAGCTTCATGAAGAGGAGTATAATTCCAATTATCTCGAGCATTTGGGTCTGCTCCATGTCGCAAAAGGAGATTAACTACTTCAGCATGACCAAAAGAGCATGCATTATGAAGAGGAATAAGGCCCCCATCATCACGTGCTTGGACATTTGCACCATTCTGAAGCAAATATTCAACTACATCTTTCCGCCCAAAACCTAGAAGAAAACAAACAGTCCACGTTTAAGTTCATAAGGAAAATGTATCAAATTAGAGTAAGTACCATCCATGCTAAAATGTTTTAGGATGCAAAATAATAACAGATTCGACAATTCAAGAATGAATTGATGAAGAGGTGATCTGAAATGTATCACCAACTAATCTTAATGATAAAGCCAAAGGGTCTCTCCACTAAGTAGAAGCAGTACCTTAGTAGTGCCTTGTGTGATACTACTATTAACTTCAGAGAAAGATTACAAAATTAGTGACCGAAAGCTCAAACTCCAAATGTTTCCCACTCTACAATAGTATTTCTAAATGCAAACAGAGTATGGATTGTTTATAGCGTGTGTACATTTTCAAATGTTCGAAGTATATAACTGAAGTATGTAAATCACTACCTTATGAAGTAGTAACAAAACTAACTCTTGCTAGAATCCCTTTCCTACATCTGTCTCATAGAATGTTTCTGCTAAACTGGGGGACTGTGAGATAGCAACAAAAAAAGATCTGCTTACAGACTGTATTTGTCTATGTAGAGACAGAGAGAGGTGACCCCAGGCAAAAGTATGCAATCAGGTATCATCAAAGGAGCCTCTACTTTGCCACTTGCACAACATAAGCGACTTCTTTCCAGGTAGGAAGCCTCCTTTAGATAGCCATGTTCCACAGTTCTGCTCAACTGCCCCCAAATCAAATAAAACAAAAAAGTCTGGTAACTTTTTTATACTTTATTAAGTGTTTACACATTTAGTACCAGTAAGTTTCAATCTCTTACCATTCTCACACCTTAGTACTTAAAATGTTTTTACAACTAATTGTAAAATGAAAAGGATTTCAGGCATATGTTAAAGCAGATGGAGAGCTATATACATGTTTGGGGAGAGGGAAAGAAACTGCTCACTCCTTTGAAATTTCTCCAGAATATTCTTAAAAGCTCCAAGCCTGAATGTAGTCCTTCTAAGATGACTAGCATGCAAATGGTACAGTCTTTTCAAGGTGGATGCTCCAGGTTGACCTGGTTGTAGCTATGGAGGAGTTAAAGATAGTTGAAAAGATTAACCAGGTTTTTTTTTTGGTTTGTTTTAACACTGCTAGCCTCTGTGGTCATAAAGATGAGTATCTATGTATCTTTGATTGTCCCTCCTCTCAAAGAGCTCACAATTTAAGATGTGGAGAATCACAAAAGAACCAGTAATTTTAGTACGATATAATTGCTATAAAGAGAACAGTTAAAGTGCTACTAGAGCTCAAAGAAGGGAACTCCTAAGTTGGGGGAAAGCAGAGAATGGAAAGGACTTTCTCAGAGGAGACTCCAGTGACGACACCTGAGCTGAAAAGGGTACAGAAAAATAAGGAATCATTAAAAGAATGAGAAGAGGAGAGGTGGGGAGAAGGAGCTGAGCAAGGGAAGGGTACTGCTGTCTAAGCAGAAGAAATAAAATGTACAAAGACATGGAGGTATAAAAGCAAATCCTTCATAATTGCCAGGACACAGAATGCCAAAGTTGGTAGATGCTAGGAGTATGTCATGCTTAGGTGGCATCTGGACTTTATCCCACAGACTGGTGTTTTTCAAGCTGTTTTCAGACAGCAAATTTCAATGAACTCTTATTTAAGATTCCAATACATATACATCATAGTTACTGCTAAATACCCAATAACTAGTATGTATTGCCACTTGTAAAGTTGCAAATTAATTGAATAAAATAAAAACTACTCTAGTTGAATCCTTCTTCTTCCCCTCACAAGGACCCAAGAGAAAACATCCCTGTATCCCTGAGCATCTCTTAGGAACAGTTTAAAAAACACTGCCACAACACATCAGTAACCACTAAACGATTTCTTTAGGGCAGTGACTCCACTTGTCTGTTTCAGAAAGATCATCTTGGTGATTGTAGGGATAAATGGATCAGATGTGGAGAAAGGAGACTGACAAGTCCTTAAGATTTTAGAAGGCTACTGCCATGGTTCATGTGAAAGATTATAAGGGCCAAAATCAAGATTGTTGTGGATAGGTTATATTACCCACACGGTTCATGTGAACAGCACAGGTAATATTCACCTGGTTGGTAAGAAGGGTGCATTGTGAAGCCTTCCACCCCTATTACCAGCCTTCCAGTTCCCTTCCTTATGATTATCAGTTTTCTTATACCTCTGAAGTTATTTTATATATACGCACAAGCAAACACCTACTAATATTTTTTAAAGATACTGCTTATCTTCCTTTTAAAAAAATCTAATAATCCTAGAAATCAACTCCTATCAGTACTATACACATTTTCTTGACTGGAAGTACCAAAATTTAACTAGTTCCATTCTCCTGGATACTTAGGTTGTTTCCAATCTTTTACTACTGTACACAATGTTGCCAGGAATAACTAGAGAGAGTTGGAAGAGAAAATTGACAGGATCCAGTGACTAATTTGGTGAAAAGAAAGAAAGGCTGAGGATGACTATCAAATCTCTAAGATATAGAATTAAACAGTAGGCTTTGTGGGATAAAGTTTGTTTTTGGGAATGTTGAGTTTGAGGTGCCTGTGGGACAAATGCCCGCTAAGTGGTATATTCTGTGGATTTGAACTCAGGAAACTGGTCTAAGCTGAAGACAAGACATTTTGGAGTCATGACTATAAATCCTTTCTCAACTTCTCAAGATCCACCCACCCAACCCCAAATCAATCTCTCCCACTCTCTACTAAATCATTCCTAATAGCACGCAAACACATTCTGATATCTTCCACTTTATTCTACGTGAACTCACATTCCCATTTCTCTGCTCCCCTGCATAACCAAATCTGTAAGAGTTATCTCCCATTAACTCCTCCCAAAATTCAGTCTGGCTTCTGCTTCTTCCTTACAACTGCTTTCAACAAGGTCACTTAAAATCTCCATATTGCCAAATCCAAAGGACACGTCAGTCTTCATCTGACTAGACCTTTCAGCAACATTCAACAACTGACTACTCCCTCCTTCCTGAAACACCCTCTCCAAAGTTTCCATGACACCATTCTCTCCTGGTTTTCCTCCTCTCTCATTCATTCATTTAACAAATGATTAGAAAATATCAACCATGTGCTAGGCACTTTTCTGGTGGCTGAGACATAATCAGTGAACAAACAGACCAAACCTTTGAGGAACCTCTCTTCCACGGAGATGAGAGAGATAAACAATATAAAAAATACATGTTAGAAGGTGATTAGAAAAAGAAAAGCAGAATAGGGAGTGATCAGGATGTGTTAATGGGGGGGGAATTATAAAGTTGAATAGGGTGATCACTGAGGGCCTTGCTGAGATGGTGACATCTGCTCAAAGGCTTAAAGGAGATGAGGGAGATAGCCTTACTGTCTAACAGCAAGGTGGTCAGAGTGGCTGAAGCACAGTGATAAAGGGGTAGCATAGCAGATGAAGTTAGAAGTAATGAGGCGCAGACAGGGAGACTCGAGGACCACTGTGAGAACTTTGAGTTTTTTTTGTTTTTTTTTTTTTTAACTCTTGAGGAAAATGGAGAGTCACTGCAGAGTTTTGAGCTGACAACTTGACATATGACTTACATTTGAAAAGTATCCTCTGGCTGTTGTGCTGGGACTAGACTATACGGGGTTACGGGTAGAAATAGGTGAGAGATTATGGTGAATTGGACCATAATCTGGTGGCCCTTGTCAGGATAATGATAAATGGCAGATTCTGGATACTCTGAAGGTAGAGCCAGCATAGTTTCCTCATAGATTGGATGTGGAGTGAGGGTGAGAGAGAGAAAGAGTGAGACTGAGGAGTAAGTCATGCATGCTCCAAGGTTTTTGGCCTGAGTAATGGAGGAGTAGAGTTGTCATCAACTGAGAAGGGGGAAGGTGGCAGAAGAAATAGATTTGTGGCAGAAGATGAGGAGTCCAAGTTTTAGACATGTCATATCTTGCTGGGGGCTTCTTGCTTCCTCTACGCAATTTCTAAATGCTGGGATTCCTCAAAGACTCAGTTCTCTACCCTTTTTTTGGATGATCTTATCTATTCCTATGACTTTAAATACTGCCTAGTTACACAACCCTCAAATTTAAATCCCCACTCCAGACTTTTCACCTAAATTCCAGAATGTTTACTTGACAGATCTCCTTCTGGATATTTCAAAGGCATCTCAAACTCAACATGTTCCTACTTCTCTCTGTTTCCACTGATACTGCCCTGCTCCAACCAGTCTAAACTACTGCAATAGTCTCCTAAGTGGGCCTCTAATTTCTATTTCTGTCTCCAGAGACCTTTTAAAAACAATCTTCATAGCACACCTCTATTTAAAATAATTCATTGGTTTCCCATTGATGTTCTTATAATAAAATTCACTCCATTATGACTTTCTAGGCTCTCTGCGTGAACTGGCCCTCACCTTCTTAACTTCATTTCATACCACTCTTCCCTTTCCCAACTATAATACGGCTTTCTTTCAGTTTGTCAAGTATGGGAGGGAGTCGGTACATGCTACCCTTCTGCTTGGAATGCTCTTCCTTTGCCCACAGCATCCTCACTGTCTAGTCCATTTAAATGTCACCACCTTAAGAAGGCCATCCTTGACCCTTCTATCTAAAGCAGTACATTCTGCCCATCCACATTATTTCCTATCTTAACACTATTCATTTGGTCTGTCTCCTTCTCTCCTTCACTAGGATGTAAGCTCCATAAAAGCAGAGATTTTGTCTTTGCTGTTCATAGCAGTATCCCTTGGCACTTATTAAAATTTGTAATTACTGTTTACTTATTTCCTGGATTCTTAATTCCAAAAAGAGCAAGAGCCATGCGTATCTTAGTTCATTATTACTTTCCCAGTGTCCTTCAAAGTACATGGTACATAGCAATTTGTTGATATTTGCTGAATTAATGTATCAGTATAAGAAAATGAGACTGATACGTAAAACTAAGAAAGACATTGCAGAAGCCAAGTAGGAAAACCCGAGTCTTCCTTATCACTACCTGTGCACTGTTGATCATACTGTCCTCCCCAAGTAGGCCA